CTTCATCTGAAAAACACCAAAAATCCCTGAAACAAAACCCCCCCCCCCCCCCAACACACACAAGCAGTAAGCATTGCAACTTCAGCCCTAGGGCTGCAAGTCGCTGGGCTCTGAAAACTTCCTGAGGGCCCCCAGGCTCTATTTTGATAGACTAGATCAAGTAAGTCTGTTAGAACAGAACAAGTTGAAAGGTCTTGTCCTGTGTTGTTCCCCTTTGGCAGTAAACTGCCGTGGAGTTCAATGGTCACCATCACCAATGTCCTTCCTGAATACAGATCTGAAGACCCCTATGTTTCTGGCTGTTCAAAGCCTCTGCAGTACCCTAGATCTTGGACAGGAGCCCCGAGCCTCTTCCCCACTTCGGCTAGTCAATACCAGTGTCCCCTCCGGTCTCCTCCAATCTCCTCAGACATCCCAGAAAACCCAACTGGAGTACCCTAAACTCCCCGTCCCCTATGGTATGGGAAGTGAGTTCCTCAGCCTGGTCCTGCTGAACTCTGATCTCTTTTTATGTTGCCTTTAGAAAATTAGACAGCTTGGCATCTTTGTCCCTATCTCAATCTGCTGTCATTCACTGGCATCGGGGCTTGGGAACATCAGGGGAATATGAAATTGCCTTCAGGACCATTTGAAAAAATTATGGAAATGACACATTCCTCCATAAAAGCCCCCCTACCCCGGCAGGGACGATGGCAGGGACTGGATTGCCTGGAGCACTGTCTTTTTATCAGGTCCTATGGGTAAGGCTGAAAAGGTCTCCAAGGGTGAGGTGAGAATATTTACCCATTGATCACGCAGGGCCCAGCTTTGTTCTGGCAGTCCTTTCCAGAGAACCCAGGGGCACAGGAACACTCGTACTGGCCCTTCTCGAGATCCACGCAGGTTCCATTGTTGGCACAGGGGGTTGAGGTACAAGCCGGCATTTCTGGGAGGCAGAGAAGCCAGTGCTTAGCTCTCCCTTTCAGAGGCCAGTGCAACAGGACCCCCAAATAGCTGTGCTAGTGATTTCCAAGTGGGGTTTGCAGAGCTTTTCCTTTGCTATGGAGGGAAACTGAGGCAGAGCAGCAAGGAGCCAAAAAGGGTGCAGTGATTCCGCCCTCCCCACGTCCTGAAGTGAGGAGGGTCAGGAGCTTAACTATGAGGTCATTAGTGAGAAAGTCAAGGTCACGGGTAACCAAGATAAGCAGCTGCACCCTTTTCCTGGCACCCTTGCAGCGCCTGCGGCCACACGACCTTCACCGCAGAAGCCTTTGTCCCTCTGCAAAATAGGGAGTGAGCCAAGATCCCCTCAAGTCTCCTTTCTCACATTCGCTTCTCACATTTAGGGGAAGGGGTCCCTGTCACCTTGGGAACCAGTACAGACTGATACTTGCAGGGGGGAGTGCGGGGGCGGGGGCGGGGGGAAACACCAGCTTTTCACACTTTCCCATCAAAGATCCCCATCAGGAAGCCAGAAGTTTAATTTAGCCCCAGGGCTGCCTCCCCACCGGTGGTCCTTCTGTTCTCTAGTTCTGAACTAAAGGGGTCTGGGGGTAAAAAAGCTGCATCTTTTGAAGACAGCAAAATTAGAACTATTGAGCGCTCTCCTGTCCACTCGGGTTTCCATGAACGCCGCTGTGTTCCCAGTGCTCTGGCGGCCCCCTGCCCCCACCCGTGAGGCTTACTTCATTATCGGGCTCAGCAAGCCAGGGATGAGCTGAACAAAGGGGCTTGGAGCAAGGGTTCTCTGACTGTGGAGACCCCAGCTGCCCAGCAGGGTCAGGAAGGGACCCTTTGTGGCTGCTCTAACCTGCTGCCCCATGGAGTTCAGCTCCGTCCTGCTCTGCCTCAGTTTCCCTCCATAGAAAAGGAAAAGCTCTCTGGAGCTGATCTCTGAATATTCTCTATAATGTGAGCTATAGAAACCCAGGGCTGGCCAGAGACTGCAAGTGAAGGCAGCCCCAGGGAAGGGGCTCCCGATGCTAAAACCTGACATGGACATTTGTCTCTCCTTTTTCAAAGAGATTTGCACCCTGGTGGAGGGGGAGAGCTGCGTCCATGGGGAAGCCTGCTCACCATGTTGGTGGACTCCGCAGGAGCCAGGTATGGTGCAAGGAAAGCTAACAAGGATTTATCTTTCCGGGATAGTGCCAGCAAAATGTTAGTGCACTGAGCCTCTGAAGCTGCCTCTGGCTCCCCTGCCTCTGCTCTCCTTACCACTTGGAATCTTGAATTTAATATAAAGACCTGGCGACCACCCGAGTCTATATTGCTCAGTCCCTCTAAATACCAGCTCCTCAGAGCTTCCAACCCCAAAGACAGGGGTAGATGAGCTGCTGAAAGGAGAGGGATGGGCTGGGGGGTGTCTCTGCTTGAATAGCAGCTGTGGCCAGGCAGGCAGCAATTACCCAGGGGCTATTTCCCCCGTGGGACAACCGTCAACCCCCACCATTTTTATCCAGGCAGATAGCCTTTGTGAATCTGATGGAGGGGGGCTATGGGTGCTGAGGTACCTGTGAGGGAGAATTCTGTCTGGAAAGCTGTTCTGGATTTGGATATCCAGAAGGGTGGGATCCAGGCTAAAAGCCTAACCTGGTCAGTGGTTTTTCTAGCATTCTCAAACAACTGCGGTGGCAGCCCCAGAGGCAGGGGTAGGAGCAGCAGCAGCAGCAGCAGCAGCAGCAGCAGCAGCAAGGGGCTGCAGAGCTGTTGTGGCCAGTGTGAGTCAGCTGCAGCAAAAACCTTCCCCCCCCCACCACACTACCACTCAGGAGAGGGAGACCATAGGCAATTCGGGGTACAGAGGCCCCTTTGCTTCTCTGATCCTTGGTTTCTTTATTTGTCACTGGTAATGTTGAGGAGACAGGTCCTGGGTCACCTAGCTGTCTGCCTTCCTGCTGGGATATCATCTCTGGGGTAGGAGGGGTGGGCACACACCCTTTATTCCTTCAGTTTGCCTGGTCTTTGGGGACAGGGTTGGCAAGTGAGAATGGTCCTACAACAATGCAGCTGTCAGTTTTCAAGGATTATATAAATTAATGAAATCAGCAGATAACGTCAGTCTGCACTTTAACCCTTATGCCACCGCCACCAGCCTCCTGCAACACTTGACTGCCCCCCCCCCCCTTGTCCTTCCTTGTGATTCATCCTCAGCCACCACCCCCCCACCCGCCATCACGGATAAGTATCAGTCACCCCTCCCCTCCCCAATTTGTTTGTTGCCTTCCCTTTCTTGATGTTTGAGCCCCAAGAATCACCCCTCCCATAGCATACACAGAAGACCCCAATCTTCCAGCCTCACCAACCTGTGCACAGGTAGCTCCAGTCCTTGGTCCAGCCACCCTGGGCATGCTGTGTTTTATTTTGTGACTCTTTATTCAACAGGCAGTTTTCCAGCACCCCCTCCCCAAGTCTAGGAACCCACAGAGCTGAGGTGACCAAACTATAGGCACTTGAGGCCCAGCAGGGAACGTATAGGCACTGTAGATCACATACTACAAACAGAGAGCCTTAGGGGTTCAGGGCTGTAGCTCCAGGAGGGGAGGGGGAGTGGGTAGGGAAAAGGGGTGAGGGTACCCACCTATGTCGCAGAGGTCCCCGTCCCAGCCATTCTTGCAGATACACTGCCATGGCTCCTCACAGACTCCATTGACGCAGCCAGGGGAGGTTATGCACTGGTCACACTGGGGGCCCTCCCAGCCGGGCTGGCACCTGTGTGAACAAAAGGAGAGAGAGAGGGGCACATGAGGGGAGCAGGGGTCCAAAGAGGGCTCAGGCTGTTTTTCTTCTGAACGGAGAACCCTTGGTGGTCTTTGTACAGTGCCAGGCCAGTGGGTCTCTGGAGCAAACAGCAGTCACCTGAATGAAAAGCTCAGAAAAATCCTCTAGGGCAGGAACACAAGGGTCTTCCAGACCCCCACACGAACCACATTTGGTGCAGTGACCCCCAATGGTCTCATCCTGTGAGACAATCCTCATGCCCCCCTTCTCCTGCCCCCGCTTCTCCTGGCCCCCCTTCTCCTGCCTCCTCTCACCCCCCCCCACCAGTTATCTGCAGGAGCAAGAAAGCTGTGACGCAGTTTTATAAAAAAGCACCCCCCTCTGTTTAGCCTGGCTCCAAGACCCCACAGGACCCCACCATGGCCCCCAAACAGCTTACTCCATTACCTGCAAACATTGCCATCCTCGCAGAATCCATTTTTGGGGTCGCAGGCTGGGTCGCATTCAGCCCCTGAGGAAGGAAAAAAAAGTACGCAATCACCTCACAAGGCCTGCAGGACCTGCAGAGACCATTTCCTCTCACGTGGCCCACTGCTCCTCAGCAGGGGGGATCCAAAGACCCTCTCCTGGATCCTTCCAGCCTGGCACACAGTAGGCACTTCTTGGATGTGGCCTGACCTACCCAGAAAAACAATCCTGTGTGTTTCTAGCCATGGGATAAGCACAGCATACTCGTGATTCTCCAAGTGCAAAACAGACACCTTTCTCTCCAAATAAAATAGGAACCCCCAGACCATTAAAAGTAGGAATAGGGGGCAATGAAGAGTCAGCACTTGACCCTCAGGCATTAGGGCAAGCCCTCGCTTTTGCCAAGTGAGCTAAAGGGGGAGATTTTGAGGTCTCTGGAATAGCTCAGACAAGTCCACCTGCCTGGCTCACAGGTAGTGACTAGATTTCCCCCCCAAGATTAACCCCAGTTACATCAGACAGCCAATTCCTGTCTCTCCTGCCTCCCCCGCCCCTCGCTAGTCACATTAAAAGAACTGCGCAACAGCTCTGCAGGGCCTCCAACCCTAATAGACACCTACTGTATGCAACTACTCAACCACTCTTGGGCTTTCCAGACAGCACCCCCGCCCCTCACACACAACCATTGGTGCAGTGGAGGCTGGGGTCGCTGCGGGAAGGGGGGCAACTCTCTCGCTGCCAGTGACAGATGGCCGCTGCAGACAGAAGTGTCGCAGCCCCTCACCTAGAGAAAACGCGCCACGCAGGAGGGGCTCCTGCTTTGCTCCTGTTGGGAATTGGGGGCTACAACTGCAAAGTCATCCCCCCAAAGCCCCCAAGACCTGTTCCTAAGCACATAAGCAGGACAGACACCCCCAAAGTTGCACCCAGAGCCTATTTTTTCTTTTTCTTAAATAAAATACCTCCTAGAGCACCCCCCCTTTTCCATACCTCCTCAATCCACGCAACGACACCCCT